TGCAGACCTGCCCAGCTGAAAGTTAAAGGGTAGCTCTCCAGAGCACCCAGTAGCCACCTGGTAAGCACAGCTGTCATGAAAAAACAAGCTCAAACTAACCAGCTGAGCCTCCACTGTATATATACTGAAACTACTTCCCAAAGCTTTCAGAAAAGTCAGAACAAAGTCCTCATGTTGAATAAATATTTCTCTACTTTTATTACTAATGGTATTTTATATCTTTAAACCTCTGCTAGACTAAATGTAATTTGAGGAATACAACATAAAAAGTAAAATTCAAAATCTGGTATCCTATTAAATGCTTTCAATTCATCCTGTTAAACACCATTGACTGCATGCCAAAAAAATAACATAAATTTAAAAAAATCAGTCACCAGTTTGTCAGTTGATTCTAGGACTGCAAAACTGCCCTGATGTGAAATGGTCATATTTAGAGAAACTCTGTACAGCTGGGACAATGCCACGTGCTTGACCTAAGGTAGCTGTTATGCTTGCAAAAAAAATCTTTATACTTACTGATACTGTGTTATTACTTTTTGCCATCAAGAAAAGCAAAAGCCTGCATGAAAAAAATGCTTGGCAGCACATGCCAGTGTGGTAGGATAGCTTGGCTGTAACACTGGACTTCCAGGCACTAGAATTCACCTGGCCATACCCTGTGGAAGCAGCAAACACCAAGGATTTGATAAACCTCAGACTCGCTGAAATCAGAATATGCATCAGAGACAAAGGGTTACAATGAGAGGGATAGGAAAGCCTAGAAAATAAAGATACTGGCAGAACCCAACATTTAGCATTATGGCACAAAAGTCATCAGCTGGTGTGCCAGCAGCAGGCTGAGCTCCCTGCCCACAGCTCAGCCAGGGTAGGATGCAATGATGCACAAACAATGTCTGCAGGTAGCCAAATACATGACATTTTCTCTATCTGAGTAAGCAAGTACAAGGCTGGAGAGTTCTGTGTAAATACTTGTCACTGCCTGGTCTCTTATACATTGAAGATGCATTTCTAGAAAGGAAAAAAAACCCCAGAATTGTTCTTCTTATTATATCTTCAATAAAAGTTGAAAAGTGCAATTTTATTAGGCTCTCTCAAACCTCAGAGAAAGTTTTCCAAATGTCTATGAAGGCAGAATATTAACCAAATGGTTTGCTGAAGTAATGAAAGAGCTATTGAACTTCACAACACATACATATTTTTTTAAAGAAAAAAAAGAAAATACCATGGTTGTTTTTTAAAAAAAAAATTTTCTTAAAAGCCTATAACTAGAAACACATCATTAGCAGTTTGTACTCACATCAGCTTTGCATGAGAGAAAAATAAAGGTTTGTTTGTGTAACATCGTTAGGCAATACAGTAACTATACAGTTTTAAGAAAGCAATTAACTTATTTATTCCAAGTTAATGGCAATTAGCATTATGAATGACAATTTAAGTAGGATTATATGATGTATTGCAGGTTTCAACCAACTAAAAATAGAAAAGCTATACAAGCCATAAAAATTGCACAATGTACAACTTTCAGTTCCAGGAAGATTGTGTTTGCAATCCTTGACTACAAATGGAGTTGCTTTCTAACTGCTGAGATAGATCTTCTGGGGCCATAATTAATACAGACAATCCCAAGCTTTCCAAATGAGTCAGACATTTAAAAATATGATATGATATCGGGCTTAAAGTTGTGAAAGTTTTATAAAATCAGTAGTGTTTGCCTTCCAGTTCTTCAGCTGAGTTCACAACGTGAAAGTATCTTCCAGCACTGTGAGGCATTTTAAAACTGGAAATAAAGATTACCAATGTGATACTAGCAATGGGGCTTTTAAAAGACAGGCAAAATCCCAGACAAATATTGTGAGACTGCCAGTATCATCATAAAAGTCCACGGTGCCTGCAGAAGAGTTCCTTATTACACTAAGTCATTAACTTGGGATGCTTATTTTTAACTCACTGTGCTAAAAATTTTCAGAGAAAATAACATGCATTCAGGATGTCCTTGGGAATCCTCAGCAGTCCCTGAGAGTTTTGACAGCTCTGCAATTCAGATGAGCCTTTGAAAGACAAAAGGTGGCATAAGTCATTTTTGTCACCTCCTGGAGCTGACACCTGCAGGAAGCTCAAGTGTTACTTTCCAGCCATGCTATTGCAACAGCATCTCCTGAATGTTACTGATTTAGGAGCGTGGCTCCACCTGGAAGCTCTGAGTGCCAGCAGAACAGCCCGTGGTGTGCAGCAATACCTGTGTCCAGGGATGCCTCCAGAACATGGGCTTCGCTAGAATCTAGGTCCGGAGGGGGGAGGAGGGAGTCGAGGGTAGAGCTGTCCCTGTGCCATCGCTCTGCTGCTCCCACCTGAGGCTGACTGGGGTCCCTGCTGCTCCCTAGAGAAAAGATAAGGCTCAGGGGCTGCATGGCAGGACAAAGAGAGAAGCAGCATGTTCTGCTTGCTGACAGCCAGCCAGCAGACCAGCTAGAAAACACAGACTTCCAGACTTGAAGTGGCTTTAAAAGATATTTTTCAATTTAGACACTTCCATTGACTTCATCCACGTGTTTCCAAAGCCATGGCACAGCACAATGACCTGAAGAATCCAGAACACACTAGGTGATGTGTTTGCAGGTATGATACAGTATACCAGATGGTAAAACCTCACACTCTGCCGTCTCCGAAGAGCTAGCACCACAAGTCACAGCCTTCTGCTTTAATTTAGCAATCTACACCAAGTGACCTCCTCCATCCCCCAAAAGCAGCTGTAATGAGGGAAGGAAAGAGCTGGTAGGTACTGCACTGGGTTCCTCCCTGAGTACTGCAGTTCTGCAGAACATGTGCAATACAATGACACGACATGACAAAATGACACAGAGAAGAAAAATGTCCAGCTCGGCCCTTGTGTTAGTCACACTGCAGGTGGTCTGCAGACTTGTAGCTGCTCAATGGGAATGTATGACTCCCTTGGCTGGCCAAGCTGAGCTGTAGACCAGTCTCCTACACAGCAAAGCACACAAAGGAAGACTGACGACATGGTGACAACTCCAAACCACATGGAGGTATAGCAGCTGTGCAGTGAAGCAGAGCTTTGCTCCTGGAAAGCTGAAGATGTTGCAGGGCACATGGGGAACAGAGCCCTAAGTCAGGAGGGAGGCAGGTCCTCATGTTGATAAAAGCTCATTCATGCATTTGATTAGTTTGCATAACCAAACAGAATTTGAATCCATATTTTGG